CTGATAATCCAGCCACTCTGTGCCACCCTTTCAGTTATATCCTTCTTTAACTCCATCACCGCCCCGCACTCCATCATTGCCCCGCACTCCTATTTATCCGCTTGCTTTCTCTTTGCAGGGGCCGTATTAAACATTTGGATGTGGTGACCTTACTACGTCGCATCCAGCCACCCCTGGGATTTGGCAAATTGTGCCCACACCGTGTGGCGTGTAAGGTAAACATGTAGCAGGAAAACTAGACGTGTTTGACGAGATGCTGACATTGTTGAGGAAATTCTATGATCTTGGTGCATTTGGGGAATTAGATTACAAGGTAATTCCAAGGCGAGTCACAAAGAACACATCTGCCTTAGGATTTGGACTTCTGCAGACTCCATGCCACTTGCAGGAGCGAGGAGAGGAAGAAACATACCCAGTACTATTTGGTATAGGGGAACATGTGATTCACTCCTCTTTCTCCCATGTGACAGTGCTGGTACTTGATGATTGGACCAGCACGTGGGGGCAACATAAGAGTCACCAGCCTTGTGTAAGCTCCAAGTCCTTACTTCTTTCCCCCACTGATCAGTCACTAGGGCTGTTGTAACATTATACGTAGGGGCGATAGGCAGCGATGTACATGGGGTGATCACTGGGGTGATAGGCAGCGCTGTGCATGGGGTGATCACTGGGGTGATAGGCAGCGCTGTACTTGGGGTGATCACTGGGGTGATAGGCAGCACTGTACTTGGGGTGATCACTGGGGTGATAGGCAGCGCTGTGCATGGGGTGATCACTGGGGTGATAGGCAGCACTGTACATAGGGTGATCACTGGGGTGATAGGCAGCGCTGTGCATGGGGTGATCACTGGGGTGATAGGCAGCGTTGTACTTGGGGTGATCACTGGGGTGATAGGCAGCGCTGTACATGGGGTGATCACTGGGGTAATAGGCAGCACTGTACTTGGGGTGATCACTGGGGTGATAGGCAGCACTGTAAATAGGGTGATCACTGGGGTGATAGGCAGCACTGTACATGGGGTGATCACTGGGGTGATAGGCAGCGCTGTACTTGGGGTGATCACTGGGGTGATAGGCAGCACTGTACTTGGGGTGATCACTGGGGTGATAGGCAGCGCTGTGCATGGGGTGATCACTGGGGTGATAGGCAGCACTGTACATAGGGTGATCACTGGGGTGATAGGCAGCGCTGTGCATGGGGTGATCACTGGGGTGATAGGCAGCGTTGTACTTGGGGTGATCACTGGGGTGATAGGCAGCGCTGTACATGGGGTGATCACTGGGGTAATAGGCAGCACTGTACTTGGGGTGATCACTGGGGTGATAGGCAGCACTGTACATAGGGTGATCACTGGGGTGATAGGCAGCGCTGTGCATGGGGTGATCACTGGGGTAATAGGCAGCGTTGTACTTGGGGTGATCACTGGGGTGATAGGCAGCGCTGTACTTGGGGTGATCACTGGGGTGATCACTGGGGTGATAGGCAGCGCTGTGCATGGGGTGATCACTGGGGTGATAGGCAGCGCTGTACATGGGGTGATCACTGGGGTCATAGGCAGCGCTGTACTTGGGGTGATCACTGGGGTCATAGGCAGCGCTGTACATGGGGTGATAGGCAGCAACAGGGGGCTGATCTGTGATAGATAACATGTGTACACACAACCAAAAACATGAAGAGTACAGGCTTTGGAAATATTCATGATTGTGTCATATATGAGCCATCACTTTAGTCCACATACTGACTCTCGCTGAGGTCTGAACAAAGATGGCGGCATCCCTATGGGAAAAGCAGATGAAGTAATATGATTTATGTGAGAGGTAATAAAAAGCTGGGCGTGTTACATGTGTGCATTACTTAACATGCGTGTACTTCAAATGAAAAATATGTCTGATGCTGGGTCTGGTATACAAATTAATTTGGAGTCAACCTGTTAAATAAAAAGGTCAGACTCCCTCTAACCTCTTTTTTTTGTAATTAGCTGCTGCTCTGCTAACATGATCGCATGTGACATGTGGTTTATCAGGTCTTCTACTGGCTCCAGATTTGCTAATATACACGCATGTGCTGTTTGCATGCATTCATATGTTACAGTATAGTCATGTTGCTGATGGGAAGCTGTTCTTGCATGTATCTCAACGCTGAAGGCTGTCTTTAACAGCATGCGCCTTTCTTGTGAGCATGCATATCCTCTCACCCACAGCTTAGCCAACACTTGGGGGGTCTATTTCATAAGGGCCCATCGCCCCGCAAATAGGTGAACATTCTTTTATGCCGATTGATGCCAAAAAAAACCCCCCATATTCTTTCTATTTTTTCCAGTTTGAATGTATTGTCATGCGGTGCTACATTGTGGCCACTAGATGGAGCGGAGGAAACAAATACTTATTTCCTCTGCTCCTCAGCTCCATCTAGTGGCCACAATGTAGCATTACACCACAATACATTCCAACGGGGAAAAAAATATATTAAGAACATTCGTTTTGGTATTATTTACTCAGAAGGAATATTTAACACCGACCTGCAAATTGTGTATCACTAGACCCCCTCGGTGTCATAAGGAACTGGACTTCAGTCTAAAGGGTTTTTTAGAAATAGAATATCCTTTTACATTCTGGCTTTTGTCTTCCTTTTACATTTACATACTGTTCCTGTTGCATTATATTCTGTCTTTAGAACATTCTGGCTGGTAGTGGAGACATTTTATCTCGTTCTTAACTGTCCTTGCAGAGACTGGTTGCCATGAATATGCCTCTAAACTCGGACGGTACGGTGACATTCAATGCCACCCTCTTTGCTCTGGTGCGAACTTCACTGAGGATCAAAACGGAAGGTATAAGATGAGTTCCGTGTATTGCTAAAGGTTGGTGTTCGCAGGACATTTTGTAGCCTAGATGGATAGAAAGCCATTAAGATAGGTGTTCAAGGATTCCTTTTGTCTCCATATAACATACATGGAATACAGTTATCCCAACGAATGAACATTCGAAAACAGCTCAAATACCAATATAACAAAACATATTAACCACTTGCTGACCACGGTGTTACATAGGGATGCACCAATACCGGTATTTTGGTACCGAGTACCGTAGTCCCATGCAGGAAGCCAGGTGGCGTGTAATGACGCGCTGCCCGGCTTCCTGATTAACAAGGAAGCCGTCCCATGCTTCTCGTCACTGTGTGACGAGAAAGCATGGAGCCGGCTTGCTGGCCAATCATGGAAGCCGGGCGCCGTGTAATGACACATCACCCTGCTTCCTGATTGGCCCGTGAAGCCGGCTCCATGCTCCCTCGTCATCAGATGACAAAGGGGGCATGAAGCCGGCTTCCCGAACAATCAGGAAGCCAGGCAGCGCGTCATTACACGGCTTCTTGACTGACCGAATTCGGAAATTCGGATGTGTCCGAATTTCGGGAAAATTAATCAGAATTGTGATTCGGAACGAATTGGATTGCACATGTTTAATAATGAAAGCCTATGTCAAGGCAGCGCC